ATTATAAAATTAATATTCTGTTTATCGTGTTTCGTGTTACCCACGTGTATACCTGAACCAACCCGTTATCTTAACAGGTGTTTATCGGGTTACCCGATAACGACCCGATTCGTTATCGTGTCGATCCGAACACCTGTTAATTTCATGTCGTGTCGGATCGGGTTATTGGGTCGTGTCATGAATTGTCAGGCCTACCATTTATCATTACTCATCAGATAATAAGTACGTAGAGTGTAAAGTCAATTTTTAAAACGTAAACACAAAATTTAAGAATTTGGGAATCAAGGAAATAAACGCAAGTGCGTGTTGATGAGTGATGACTAGACTAGGAGATTAATTGTCTTTGTCGAGCTATTTATGCAAGTAACAAACACGAAGGCCACTGTAAAAACAACTTATACAAAGTAATAGAGGGCGCACGAGTGATAAAATAATCTTTAAAGGCTTAATTAGTTTTAAGAAATGAAATAATTTAGTAAAAAAACATATAGACATTAACGAATAGGGGACTTGTGTTTTTCTTGAACATGCACCCTGATTCTTGGACCTATGGTTTCGAATTCATGATTTTTCAATATTTTTTAAAATTTAAATATTTTTAAATTAAAATGTTCATAAAATTAATTTACAATAGTCTACATATTTAAAAAAAAGAAGTTAATTTAAGAAAAAAAAATAGTCTAAGTTCATTCTTTTAATAATCCCGGGCTAAATTTTTAGGCCAGAAGAGTTTGAGTAGAAAAACTATTTCTAGGCTAAAAGCTAAATTTTTCGGACTAAAAAATTTAGCTTTTAGTCCAAAGGTTAGAGATGGTCTAAGTAGTTAGCAAATTTGTTAAAAAATAAAGTAGTTAGCAAATAAAAAGAAAATAAAAAGAAAATTAAAAGAAAGTTCATTGCCGTGTCCTAAACCAATTTGACCAGACACTAGCCCATCTGTCATGCGACAATTCAAGTCGTGCAAGCAAGTCTTTAGAATTTTCTTATGAAAAGGTATTGGATTTTTTTTTTTTTCATGCGACAATTCAAGTCGTGCAAGCAAGTCTTTAGAATTTTCTTATGAAAAGATATTGGTTTCTTTTTTTCAAAAAAAAAAAATCCAATACCTTTCAAATCTTCGAGAGAGAATACTCTTTGTGAGGATTACAAAGATTTTTTAATCACATTCGTTTATTATAACATCCTACATCGCCCAAGAGAGGGATCCTTAAATGTATATTCACATCCTTACCAGTGGTGAAACCAGAAATAGTCGGGAGGAGGGACGAAATTTAGAACTGTAAAAGGTCCCAAAAAAGTGTAGACAATCAAATCCTTTTAGATAGTAGGCAATATTAATGTCATTTATAATTAAGGTTAAAGGTTCTAAAAGACGCTAAGTCTAGGCAGGCAGCAAACTGAAGCCTAGCGCCTAGACAAATTTGAGTAAATTTATTTATATATCATCTAACGCCTAGGTAGGAACCTAGACGTATTTGAGTAAATTTATTATGTATATATCATATAAATAAGTGTCTTACACCTTAAAAAATTATACTTGTATTGAAGCTTCAATTTTATATTTAACTAAGCTTATTATTTAACATATAACATTCAAAATTATCAAATTTTTATTTTAATAATTTAGTGAATATGATAGTACGAGAAAAGTACACTTCTTATAGTGAGTTATTATTTTTTATAAAACTCTAAACTATAAATTAATAAAATTAATGCTCTGAAATCTTTTGTTAATATTAAAAAATAATTATAAAAAAATAAGAAAACAATCAAAAGTGGCTTGCAGTTGTATTTTCATTGGTAGCCACAACAAAAATGAAACTGTGCGTTTCAACTTAAATAGCTGGGCCCCTTCTTCTTCCTCGCGAATCATTTGAACCACCGCTTCTGCAACGCAACTCCGGCTCACACTGGAAATGCCCATATTTCGTCTTATTTCTTCGCTATACGCCAATAGTAGTTGGGATTTCAAAAAAAAATGAAGGCCTACAACGGATGATGTACAGCAGCAGAGGAAGCAGGGGGCGTTTGCAGGTTTTCCGACTGACTAGAGGGGCGGCTACCCGTTTTTGGGATTCTTTTCCGGCGAAAGGAGGGGCGACCGCCCCTCCTTGCTCCTCTGTAGCTTCGCCCATGCTTGCACATTTAATATTTTGTAATAGACTAGTAGTGTTTGATTGTTTTTTTATTAGGATCTTATTTTCAAGTGTAAATGTAATACTAAAACGATAAATGTGTTTTAATGTTTTGAAGTAATATTTAAGTGGCAATGTGTGGTATGTGCAAATTTAAGGAAAAAAAATATTTTTCTTAACGGGTCATAACGGGTCGGGTCACTTTACCCGTTAGGTAAAGTGACCCAACATGTTAAGATAATAGGTGTGACATGACACGACCCGTTAAGATAACAGGTGTTACACGAAAAAAACACGAACACGACAGACACGACCCGTTTGCCAGACCTAATAAATAGACACCAATTTTTTTAGATTACATTTGAAAACCATCAATAGAAAATAAGTACACAAACACAATATATTTGAATATCTACCACTCACTACAAGTAGTTAGCAAATAAAACGAAAAATAAAAGAAAGATATTAAAAATATTATCCAAGATTGAACTTAAGTAGTTAGCAAATTTGTTAAAAAATAAAGTAGTTCTATTTTGTTTTTTTTAAGAAAGTACAATATTTATTAATACAAAAAACACGTACAAAGAGAGAATATGGTGTTAAAATGGGACTCAATAAAAATCTTGTCGTAAATTTCAATTCGATCTAAAAAAAAAAGAGTGTTCCGCATAAATAGTTATCTTCACCGTAATGTAAACGGTTACACATGATTATCTTCTAATAAAGCATCTAAAATAAAATTTGGGGGAGATTCAACCCACCTATCTTCACTAGAAACACCCAAACCAGCACGAGCTAGCATGTGTGCTACGTTGTTTGCTTCCCGATGCACAAAGTTCAACAATGATAAAGGAAAGATAATTATCCAAGATTAATTGAGTTCATTGCCGTGTCCTAAACCAATTTGACCAGACACTTGCCCATCTGTCATGCGACTATTCAAGTCGTGCAAGCAGGATTTGGATCCCATTAGGATTCAAATAGTAGGGATATGTACATCCTAATCGTTTATTGTACATTGTACAGTTAGAAATTATTTGAATTTTTTATTTAAAATTAAACAGAAATAGTACCTGACGAAAACTGACCATACAATGTATGATGAACGGCTATGATGTAAGGATTTTTAAGATCCCTACCATTTGGATCCGGATGTGATCCTCATCCGTGCTAGCAAATCTTTAGAACTTTCTTACGATTTGATGACTCGACACGTACCACCAATGACAAATGAGACGTGACAGTCCCTTTCAAATCTTCAAGAGAGAATTCTCATCGGATACTCTTTGTGAGGATTACAAAAATTCTCTAATCACATCCGTTCATCGTTTATCGTACATCGTGCATCTAGTTTTCGTCAAGTATGTTTATATTCAATTTTAAATAAAATTTTATAAGGATTTCTAATCGTATAATATATGATGAACGGATGTGATTGAAAGATTCTTGAGATCTTCACAAGGAGGATCTGGTGAGGCCAACAAGATCATCTCCAGATCCTTTTGGTGACGATTATAAGGATTTGTGAATCGCATTCGTTCATCCTATATCGTGTGGTCAATTTTTGTCAAATACTGTTTGTGTTTAATTTTAAATAGAAAAATTTTAAATGATTTTTGATCTCACGATGTATGATGAACAGATACGATTTATGTATCTTGAAATCCTCGGGATCCGGATCCGGATTCTCGGCAAGGATCCTCATGCCAAATCTTCAAGCTGACAATTCTGACTAGACCAGAATATTGCTGACCTTGACAAGTTTGGACATCAATAGGAAATTCACGCCAAACCTAATCTCTCTCTCTCTCTCTCTCTCTCTGTATATATGTTTTTTTTTTTTTGGGATTTATTAGTAAAGGATCAAGAGTTCAAGCTAGCTTGCTTACTTATTGCTTGCCCTAAGATTTCGAAAGAAAAACTAGAACTCCATTAACCACATATAATGGAGTTATTTTATTTCTATGATTTCCTATATGCAAGCCTGTGTATGTCCCTATTTTATCAACCAGAACTAGCACGAGACCTTTTGGGAGTTCACTGGCTTCCGATTCCGTAGAAACTTCAAAGTTATGCGAGAAGGAGGTCAGAGCACTCTCATGATGGGTAACCTACTGGGAAGTTACTCGTGAGTTCCCAAAAACAAAACCGTGAGGGCGTAATCGGGCCCAAAGCGGACAATATCGTACTACGGTGATGGAGCGGGCTCGGGAAGTGGTCCGTCCCAGGCGGGGATATGGCATTTATCGTACATCGTGCGATTAATTTTCGTAAAGTATGCTTATATTTAATTTTAAATAAAAAATTTACAATAATTTCTGACTGCACCGAGATGTGACATTTATCGTACATCGTGAGATTAATTTTCGTAAAGTATGTTTATATTTAATTTTAAATAAAAAATTTACAATAATTTCTTACTGCACGTTATACGATGAACGTACGTGACTGAAAGATTCCTAGAATCTTCACAAGGAGGATTCGTTGAGACCAACATAATCCTCTCCGAATCCTTTTGTGAGGATCTTAAGGATCCGTAAATTATATCCGTTCATCGTATGTCGTGCGGTCAGTTTTTATCAAGTACTGTTTGTGTTTAATTTTAAATAAATATATTTAAAATTATTTCTAATAACACGATATATGAACGAACACGATTTACATATTTCTAGATCCTCACAAAAAGATCGGACAAGGATCCGAATTCTCATGCCAAATCTTCAAGCTGACAATTCTGACTAGACCAGAATATTGCCGACCTTGACAAGTTTGGACATCAGTGGGAAATTCACGCCAAACCTAAGCTCTCTTCTTTTTTTATTTTTTTTTATTTTTAATATATATATATATAGATTTAGTAAAGGATCAAGAGCTCAAGCTAGCTTAGCTTGCTTACTTGTCGCTTGCCCTAAGATTTCGAAAGAAAAACTAAAACTCCATTAACCACATACAATGAACCTATCTTCCTTCTATGATTTCCTCTATGCTTGCCTGTGTATGTCCCTATTTTATCAACCAGCACACCCTCAGCAGGTATACCTCAACAGCACACAGTCCTGCGATGGTAGCCCCATGTCAAATGGGTACCTCTGTGATTCCAGTGTCATCAAGTCCTGCCAGTCCTTCGTCACGTTCAGATCGCAGCCGCCCCATGACACCGCCATCAGCATCGCCTCTCTCCTCGCCTCCGAAGCCTCAGAGATTGCCTCAGTTAACAAGGTTTCAGGAAGTGACAAGATTCCAAGCAACAGGTTGGTTGTAGTTCCAGTTTCTTGTTCATGTTCGGGCAGTATCTTCCAGCACTTCTCTACTTACACCGTGACAGAAGGCGATACGTATTATAAGACGGCCGTCTACACTTTCCAAGGCCTGGCTACATGTCAGTCTATGATAGGTCAGAACTATTATGAACCTGTAAATATTACGGTGGGAGCAGTGTTAACAGTTCTGGTGAGATGCGCTTGCCCGAGCGAAAAGCAAACTGCAGATGGGATTACATCCCTGCTGACATATATAGTAGCCATGAACGACACAATTGCAAGAATAGGAGAGATATTTGGGGTAAACAGTCAAAGTATACTAGAGGCAAATTTGTTGTCACGGGACAGCATTATCGACCCTAATACAACTGTTCTTGTTCCCCTCAAAAGCAAGAAATGCCCTACTTCTGATGGGAATTTCGTTGCAAATGGGAGTATCCTAGAATATGTCGATTGTATTCGCAACGGCAAAAAGTTTCCGGTGAAGTTGGTCACACTGCTAGGTATATATATCGTATTTTATTTTGTTTTTGTCACGTTTAGCAGGCCGATGTACAAAAATGCATCGATGTAATTAGTAGTAAAATTATTCATTATATGTCGTATTTTATTTTGTCACGTTTCAAATATCAGACTTTACATTCTTCTCTCTGTATTACTTGAATTTTCAACTTGGACGTGAGCTAATTGGTTTTTCTTTGTTGTCTAATTTACTTGACAGGTATTGGGATTGGGTTTGCATTCATATGCGTGTTCCTTTTATGCTACTATTTATATCAATGCCTGAAGAGAAGGAGAACCAAAACCCGTAAGGAGAACTTTTTCAAGCAAAATGGGGGCTTCTTGTTGCGAGAAAAATTCTCATTTTATGGAATTAGTAGCAATGCAAAACTATTTACTGCAGAGGAGTTAGAGAGAGCAACGGATAACTACAACCAGAGCCGGTTTCTAGGGGAAGGAGGTTATGGCACAGTTTATAAAGGGATGTTACCTGACGGAACCATAGTAGCGGTTAAAAGGTCAAGGGCGATGGACGAAAATCAGATTGAGCAATTCATCAATGAAGTTGTCATTCTAACTCAAATCAATCATCGAAACATCGTGAAATTGCTTGGTTGTTGCTTGGAGACGGAGGTTCCATTGCTAGTATATGAGTATATTTCTAACGGAACTCTCTCCCATCATATCCTTCAGAAGAAAGACTCCACCGAATCATCACTTTCGTGGGAATGCCGTTTAAGGATCGCTTGTGAAGTTGCCGGAGCAATAGCTTATATGCACTCAGCAGCTTCAATCCCCATCTATCACAGAGACATCAAGTCGTCTAACATACTTCTAGACCACAACTACAGTGCTAAAGTATCCGACTTTGGGACTTCCAAATCAGTTCCCCTTGACAAAACTCACTTGACGACACAAGTACAGGGGACTTTCGGGTACATGGATCCCGAGTATTTCCAATCTTGTAAGTTCACAGACAGGAGTGATACCTACAGCTTCGGAGTTACGCTCGTGGAGATACTAACTGGACACACCCCATATTCTTTTGCAAAACATGAAGGAGAAAACCTGGTTGCATCGTTCATTTCATTGACGAGGGAAGATGAACTCGTTCAGATTATGGATCCTCAAGTGGCTAGAGATGCAGATGTTGAGCAAATTCGCACGATTGCAGAGCTTGCAAAACGGTGTTTGAGGCTGAATGGGGCAAAGAGGCCTAGTATGAAAGAGGTATCAACAGAGTTGGAAGGATTGAGGAACGCTCAAAGATGCCATGAAACGTTCCGAGAAGATCCTATAGAGCAAAACATTGATTTCCCCATGGAAATTGAATCTGCATCGCTTTGAACTTGAAACACAACTATTTTAATTTGCTTCCCTAGTTTTTTTGTAGTTCCATTCAGTACGACGTAACCGGGATTCATAAGTTAATATTTCGTTGAAATTTAGCAAAGTCGAATGAAATTTTTTAAATTTCTGAAGGTACGGTCTAGTGGTATTATACTTCTATTAGTGGAATTACAGAGACTAAAATTCGTTAACAAATTGCCTGACTAACAAACTGTGTACACCACCTTTGTACAGCTTCCCGTAAACAAACAGATTTCCACCTGCCAAGCTACCTACGATCATCAGATATAGTCTCTTCAGAAGAACCATCGCTGGCTATAATAATTACGTCGTCTTGTTTACCGGCATGACGAGAATGATCCCTTCTCTGTTTCCCAGTCCCAAGTCCTACCGATAAGTGGTTGAAAAGAGGAGCATTTACTCTTAAATCACCACATGTAACCTGCATTTCATTCCTTGGTGCCAAATGTGATTCCCGACGATCAAAACCAGCAAGGGTGACATTCAACCTGTCTGAATGAGCAATTGATGAAACAGTTGAAGGCACAGTTGGGGGTGGAGAAGCAACAGCTTCTCTGAGCCAGTAGGGCAAATTTCCCTGTGGTCCAGTGCAAGTTGTGGGGACATCAGTCGATAGTAACTTACCCCTCCGAATACTTCTACCTCTATTTAGAATACTAAATTCATCATCTTCATGTGTGTCCCTTCCCATTTCAAAACGAGATGTCCTCTTTGTGTAACCAAGAGGCCTCCGGTGGTTTTCATTGCCAATGTCGCAAGTATAAGCCGACTTGAATAGTGGCCTCCTCAAGACATCACCTCCTCTACAAGCATCAACATCGCCAAGTGAAACTTGGGTCATGTCTGCTGTATTTTCTTTCCATATTCCTCTTTTTGAACCCGAGAAGTAGTTGCATCCCAATTGGGGAACACAAATGCCACTAAAAAGTTTTGATTGTTCCTCTTCCCACTGCTCAGCTAAGTCCCTTGCCACCCTCCGTGGTGAGAAGTGCAATCTTGGATCCCTTAACATAGCATTCCAATTGTCCCGTCCATATCTTCTCACGCCCATCCATAGAAAATCCAACTCTTCTTCAGACCACATGGTATTATATGGCATATATTTGTCATGAATACCACCCCTTTCATTCAAAGCTCTTGTTTGGCTTACTACACTGTCATGCATAAGCTTGTGCCTCAAAACTGATGAGTCATTTTGTAGTTGGGGTGAAGGGTTGTTAAAGAGGGTTAGGGTTATATTGAATTTTGATGTATATTTGCTTTATGAAACAATTACAAGATGAAACATATATATAGGGAAGAAAAAGATCATAAGCCTAATTTTGCCTAACTTACCTATCTTGCTTGACTAACCTAACTTGCCTAACTTTGAACAAGAAACCTAACTTGCCTAACTTTGAACAAGAAAGTTGACTAGCCTAATTTCACTAGTCATCCAACACCATTATTCCAACATGTTTATTTCATGCATTTTAACACTCCCCCTCAAGTTGGAGTGTGGATGTCGATGACACCCAACTTGCTAATTAAGACCTCAAATTGTGCCGAGCTTAGTGGTTTGGTGAACAAGTCTGCAGGTTGATTCGAGGTCCGTATGTAAGCTGTTTGCACCATTCCCATTTGAATCTTCTCACGTACTAAGTGACAGTCTATCTCTATATGCTTCGTTCGTTCATGAAACACTGGGTTCGAAGCGATGTGCATGGCAGCTTGATTATCACAAAACATTGTGACTGGTTGTGCATGATTTACTTGCAAGTCCTTCAAAATGTTTCTTAGCCATATAACTTCACAACAAGTAGTAGCCATAGAACGGTATTCTGCCTCTGCACTAGAACGAGATATTGTGCTTTGTTTCTTCGTTTTCCAAGATATCGGTGCTTGTCCAAGGAAGATACAATAACCGGTTATTGACCTTCTAGTGTCTTTACACCGAGCCCAATCAGCATCACAAAAAGCTTGTAATTGTAGTGAACCTGTAGAAGGCAAAAGAATTCCCTGTCTAGGAGATTGTTTGATGTACCTGAGAACCTTATGCACCGCTTCAAGGTGTGGTTGTCGTGGCTTGTCCATGAATTGGCTCAACATATTAACCACAGAAGTCAGGTCAGGCCGCGTGATGGTTAAGTAAATCAGCCTCCCTACAAGTCGCCTGTATGAAGAAGGATCATGTAGGAGCGTCCCATCAGTTTGTGTAAGGGACAGGTTTGGTTCCATTGGTAATCGTGAGGGCTTCGCACCAAGGAACCCAGCATCTTCTAGTATCTCCAACGCATATTTGCGTTGGCACAAGGCAATCCCTTGTTTAGATCTTGCAACTTCTATCCCCAAAAAGTATTTGAGTTTTCCCAAATCCTTTAGTTTAAAATGTTGGGAAAGGAAGAGTTTAGTCTCTTCAATTTCTCTCAAATTGTTACCTGCAAGTATCACGTCATCAACATACACAAGTAATGCTATGAAACTGCCTTGACGGTTTCGGACGAACAATGAGTAATCTGACCATGATTGATGAAAACCAGCAATCTTGAGAGCACTAGACAACTTGATAAACCATTGTCTCGAGGCCTGTTTTAAACCATAAATGGATTTGTGTAATTTGCATACTCGTGTCTCCCCCTGAAGATGCCAGCCTCGTATGGAGGCAATACTCAGGAGGACGCGGACGGTGGTGAGCTTGGCAACTGGAGCAAAAGTTTCCCGATAATCAAGCCCCTCAATTTGACTGTAGCCTTTAGCAACGAGACGAGCTTTGTAGCGTTCAACACTGCCGTCAGGTTTAAGCTTCACCTTATAGATCCATTTGCAACCGATGGGATGTTTGTGAGGTGGTAAGGGCACAAGAGTCCAAGTGCGATTGTCATGAAGGGCAACAATCTCTTTTTGCATGGCGTCACGCCATTTTGGATCCTGAACAGCCTGCGAAAAACTGGTGGGTTCTTTGATAATGGTGAGGGTGGTGAGAAAGGTTTTGTGAGTGGGGGATACATGGTCATAAGATAAATAACAAGATATGGGGTGAGATGTACCTGATGACTGGACCATGCTTGTGGAAGATGTGGGAGCAACACGGGAAGGGAGGGCCACCTCAACATGAAAGTCCTGCAAAAATGTGGAAGTTTTGGTCGGTCGAGTGCTACGACGGAGTGGAGGTGGTTGGTCTGGTGATGGAGTGGTTGGAGGTGGGGAAGAGTGTAGGGTATGTGAAGGTGGTGATAAGGTATCTGGTGGTGGAGTTGTAGTAGGTAAAGGAGATGAGAGTGGTGTGATGTTGGCAAGTGTGGGAGAGGTGATGTTTATTTCTTCGGGTGCAAGGCTTGAGGGCGACTCAATAGGAGAGGTCAAGTCAAACGTGATGGGTGAGGGTGTAATGTTTGATGGAGATGAGGCAGCGGAAGTGGTATGATTTTGGAATGGAAAATGATCTTCAAAAAAAACAACATCCCTAGAAACAAAAGTCTTATTGTGTTTTATATCAAACAATTTATAACCCTTTTGACCATAAGGATACCCAAGAAAAATGCATTGGATTGCACGAGGGTCGAATTTAGAGGGCCTTTGGGCGTGTGTAGAAGCAAAACATAAACTACCGAAAACCTTTAAATGGGAATAGTTAGGTGCTTTGTGAAACAGTTTTTCGTAAGGTGTTTTACCTTGGAGAAGTGGAGTGGGTGTTCTATTGATGAGGTAGGCTGAGGTTAAGATTGCATCCCCCCAAAAACGTTTTGGCAAACAAGCTTGAAAGAGCAAAGCCCGAGCAACATTGAGCAAATGCCGGTGTTTACGTTCGGCAACACCATTTTGTTGTGGTGTGTTGACACAACTAGATTGATGTATGATGCCTTTGAGAGCATAAAATTGCTCAAGCTTAAACTCAGGGCCATTGTCATTTCGTATGATTTGAACTTTGCTATTGAATTGAGTCTCAATCATTTGAATGAATCCGACTAAAATGTCTTTTGTGTCAGATTTATGTTTCATCAAATAAACCCAAGTGCTTCTAATGTAGTCATCTACGATGGTAAGGAAATACTTGGCACCTGAAATAGAAGCAACTTGATAACCACCCCAAATATCAATATGCAATAATTCAAAACATGATTTGGTAGAAATAGAGCTCAAAGGGAAGGGTGATCTTGTTTGTTTGGCCAATGGGCAAATTAAACATTTTTCCAAATCACAAGCCTTATTGTTAAATAAAGGTAATAACGAAGTGGCTTTATGAGATGGGTGTCCTAGGCGTTGGTGCCAAAGCTTTGGTGAGACGGTTTGAATATTGTTGCATGTTCCTTTCTTTGATGGGTCGAGGTAGTAAAGTCCATCCCTTTCAGTTCCTGTCCCAATCATCTTCCCCGAGCGAAGGTCCTGAATGACACAAAATTGGGTGAAGAAAATGGTGACATATAAGGAATCATAGGCTAGTTTACTGATAGATATTAAATTCAACCTAAAGAACGGCACACATAGGACATTTTCAAGGATAAGATTATGAGAGAAAAAACAACTTGTCCAATGTGAGTGACTTTGGCAACGGAACCATTTGGCAGTTCAACTGTATGATTTTCAACAGCTCGTGAGTGTGTAAGGAGACTAGGACTGCAAACTATGTGATCCGTGGCGCCACTGTCCAGGATCCAAATGCTTTTGGTTCCTTTACATGAAAAAGAGAAGGCTTTACCTGAAAGTTCTTCATGACTATGAGGATTACTGACTTGATTGGCAAATGATGATTTGTTCTTGTTCAACATCTGAAGGATTTGCTTGCAGTCCTCCTGAGAGAACGGGAAATTAGGCATTGTCTCTTGCTTGTTACTTTGTGAAACTTGATTCCCCTTTGAAGAAAAGAGACGATTGGATTCGGTCTCTGTGGCTGCTTTCCGTTTTCGACAGAAATCGAAGGTGTGGCCTTTCCATCCGCAAAAAGTGCACTTGAGATGTGCACGACAATTTTTGGTGATGTGATTGGTTTTATTGCACTTTCCACATCGCATCTCCTTGTCTTCAGGTGTAGGTTCTCGCGAGAGATTCTTCACTGCAAAGACAACAGTTTCTAGTTGTGTGATTTTCCCATTGGAAACCTCTGCCTGGCGTTCATGTCGAAGGACCAACGCAT